ATACTAGTCACCATCATCACTTCAATCTAACTTGCATCTCAAACTGAACATGCTTCACACTGATGCTCCTCTCAAACCAGCACACTCCTAGACTTGCACCTCTGAGTGAATAATGACCATCTTTCTCAATTTGCTCAAGTAAGGACACATGGAGTCATTTTGACTCCTTTTTTTCCCCTCCTCACTTCCCTAATCTAATCCATCAGGAAATATGTTGGATTTATTTTCAAAGTACAACCAGATTTTATCACTTCTAATGTTGGTAATAAAATCTCTTCTGGATCGTTGAGTTAGCCTTATATCCAACCCCTTGCTTCATTCTTGCTCCCCTAAAATATACAGGTGTCCAGGTAATTCTGTAAAAACATGTTATATCATATCAATCTTCTTAGAATCATCTACTACCTATGAATTTTTATAATACAAACTGAAGTCCATACAATGATGTAAAAGGTTCTCAAAGTTGGACAGTATTTTATATCTCTGACCTCATCTCCGCTGTTACAACTACCCCAATACCTTCTAGTCTCGAGCTCTTTTTTACTACCTGGAACATATTTTAACCCAAATATCTGGAAGGTTCACTCCCTTTTCTCCTTCAAGTCCTCACCTAGTTGCATCCTTCTTGAGAGGGCCATTTGACCACCTATTTAAACTTGCATGCCTTCTTCACAATTTCTGATCCTCAGTTCTGTTGTTTTTTTTCACAACTTACCACTTTCTAATATTCAATATAATTTATTTGTTTATTATGTTTATTATTATCTTCATTCTGCTTGCATTATTTCCTGCTACAATACAAACTGCAAAAATACTAGTTTTGAATCTCCAACATCTAGAACAATGCCTGCAAACAATGTTCAATAAGTATCAGTAGAATGAATGGACACACTGTGAAGTATATTATTATCAGGACAATATCATGGCTGTTAAGGGTGAGTTGATAAAAAATCAAATCCAAAATCACTAAAAATGACTTGTAATAATTAGCAGCACAAGTTTAAAATAAGAGGAAAAAAATCCCCAAATTAAATGTACTATTTACTACCTATAAATCTTACTAAACCTCAGTTAAGTCATTTTCAAATGGAAGTAACATATTACAGCTAATGATATGGAATGCTGATGAAGTATATTAAGACAGCGTCCAGTAACACATAATTCTTAATGATATAAGCGAAAAAAAAGTGTAAGATTTAAGATCTTGAGAGGGTGAAATATATGGAGTTGGTACCATTGCCCAAGCACAGGAACAGTGTTTTGTTGCCTTGTAGAAGAGTGAAGTGGAGAATATGCTCATGCACACAGTGTAAAGAGAAGAGGGCCCTGTCTGAGAACTTTTACTTTTTCAACAAAGTGAAGCAATGTCATTAGCTGAGAAAGACTGGTAAGAGGACTTTAATGGAGCTAAGATATCATATAGCTATTTTAGAAAATAGTAATTATTGCCCTTAC